AGGGAGGCATGACCATTTCATGGCATACACATAACCTTCTTCTAAGTGTTCAGTCAAGTACTGATCTAGGTGCGGTGGTGAAGGAATTTTGCAGATGTGATTGAAGTCCCTAATCAGTTGACTTAAAATTAATCAAAAGGGAAATTATCCTGGGTGAACCTTAGGACACATAGCTAGACCCAGCTTTCTTTTCCTCTGTCTCTCCCTTTCTGATCGCCGCTGGTGGGTCAGCTGCCACTCATGTCTGCAGGTCCCAGCCTGTTTGTCATCTTCTGTCCCCGATGGCCTTTCTTACAGATTTCGGACTTGCTTAGCCAGCCACCACATTCGCATTGCCCAATTTCTTACAACAAATCTGGTAATAACATCGGTATCTCCTGTTCTGCTTCTTTTGTTGAACTCTGATACACTATTTTAATAAATTAACAGGGTATAAAAACTTCATTGATAGGGCTTCAAATTCCTCACTGCAACTAATCTTCAAGGAACCACCACTTGTCAACTTTTTTTTTTTATCTTTTTTTTTTTAATATTTTATTTATTTATTTGACAGAGAGAGAGAGAGAGAGAGATCACAAGTAGGCAGAGAGGCAGGCAGAGAGGGTTAGAGGGAAGCAGGCTCCCCACCGAGCAGAGAGCCCGATGCGGGGCTCAATCCCAGGACCCTAGGATCACGACCTGAGCCGAAGGCAGAGGCTTAACCCACTGAGCCACCCAGGCGCCCCACTTGTCAACTTTTGAAGTAGGATCAGAGAACAGCAGCCACAGTTACCTGAAAAGGCTATCAAAAATACTTCTCCCTTTCTCAACCACGCGTCCGTGTGATTTTGGGATTTTCTTTGTGTACTTCAACCAAAACAATATACTGCAAGAGCAAAAGCAGGTTATAAGAATCCAGTTGTCTTTCATTAAGTCACCCTTGAAAGACTTGCAATAATGAAAAACTGTCACACTTAACAATAATCCTTTTGGAAACTATAGAGTCTTCATTAAAATATGTTAATATGTCATGGTTTATTACTGTTAAATGTAATGGTTCACTTCTAATTTCTAATATGGTAATTATAGAATAACTGCACATAAAAAGCTTTTGGGGGTCTTTATAAGTTTTAAAAGTTTGTACTTGATCTTAGCCAAAAGGCCGAGAAGTGATAATAATTTTTAAAAGTTTAAAGACATCCTGATGCCAAAAGATTTGACAAATACTGGTTCAGGATATACTGAGGAATAGCGCTGCCAATTTTACAAGAAAAGGGAAACTATTTTCTGTAGTGGTTTTAACCATTTTATACCCACAAGCCATGAATAAGCATTTTTATTGTTCCAAAACCTGGCCAACTCCTAATATAATCAGATTTTAAAATTTTAGCTACTTTCATGTAATGGCATCTCATTATTGTGATATTAATTTCCAGTACCCTAAGAGGTTGAGCACCTTTTCATAGGGTTACTGAACAATTGGATATCTCCTATTTAGAGTGCCTGTTCAAATCTTTTGCTCACTTTTCTATTGTCTTTTTGATTTGTGGAAGTACTTTGAGTATTTTAGGTATCTTCTTCTAAGGTCTCTTACTCTTTTTGTAATTTTTTGATGACAAGAAGTACATTTAAATCTTAAGTGGAATTTATCAATCCTTGCTTTATATTTGGTAGTTTGGGGATCTTGTCTAAAGATTCTTTCCTACCCTCAGATCATAATGGCATCTTTCTGTATTATTGATTTTGTCTTTCACCGGAGGGTCTTTACTCCTAGAAGCTGGTTTTTATATAAGTAGGGGTCCAATTCGTTTTTTTCTCCCAGTGGATACCCTGCTGAATAGCACCATTTAAAAGGGACTGTTCTTTGGGGCACCTGGCTGGTATAGATGGTTAAGGGACCGACTCTTGGTTTCGGCTCAGGTGGGTGATCTGAGCGTCGTAAGATCAAGGACTGTGTCGGGTTCCATGCTCAGTGCAGATTGGGATTCTGTCTCCCTCTCCCTCTTTCCCTGCTCCCACACATAAATAAATAAATCTTTTTTTTTTTTTTTTTTTTTTTAAGTACTGTTCTTTTTTCTCTCCTTTTTCCCCTGCCTCCTCTATCACATTTGGGTCTGCTTCTGGATCTCCATTTTCACTGCATTGTCTATCTGGGTCGCTCTTCTGTTCTGTGGTTTTACTTGTCTATCTGCACAAATGTCACACTGTCTTAATTTCCAGTTCATTGAGTCTTGATGTCTGCCTAGGACAAGTCCTGTTTTCCCTTTCAGGAGTGCTTTGCATCTTCTCAGCCATTTGCTTTTCCATATCACTCTTAAACTCAGTTTATCAAGTCAGTCAACTTTTTAAATTTAGTTTGTTCAAAGAAAATAAAATGCCCTGACCTGATTTTCATTTGGATTACACTGAGTATATAAATCAGTTTGGGAGAATCAGTATCTTTATGATATTGAGTCTTTGGATCCATGAGTGTGCAGTAGCTTTCTACATTTAGTTAGGCCTCTAATGACTTGATAAAGTTTTATGTTGTCCTTATGGATCTTCTCTTCTTTTAGGCCCTCCCCGCCCCCAAATAGTCCTCTCTTAAGTCTATCATAAATAGTGTTTTTATTTTCTGTTACATAGGAATATAATTTTGCATTTGGTTACCTTGCCTAACCAAATAATTTCAAAGGAGGATGTTGGTTTTTCTGGATTTTCTACATATTTAATCTTACCTATGTTTCATAATCTGTGACTTTTTTTTTTTTCTTTTCAAACCAATGCTTTTTATGTGATCATTTATTTGATATATTTGCCTTATTACACTTGTATAGTATTGAATTAAAGTAGTCACAGCAAGCAATTTGTGATGTTCCCACTCTGAAAAGGAAGGCTTTAAATTTTATCATTAAGCACAATATTTGCTGCAAGTTCATTGTAGATATTCTTTATCACTTACCAAAGTTTCCTTCTTAGTTATCTGGGAAACTTAGAAAAAAAAATCTCAAAAGAATGTTCAGTTTTATCAGTTGCGTTTACCACATCTAATGAGATGATCATATTGCTTTTTTCTTCATCAAGGCTATGAATATAATGAATCTCATTAATTGATTTTTCTAAATGTTAAATCAACCTCTGTTCCTGAGATAAGTCCAACATTGTCATGCTGTGTTATCCCTTAGTATATTTTGCATCTGTGCTGCTTAATGAGAGTATCATATAATTTTTACATATACTTGAACCCACATCAGGTGCCTACAATTTTAAAATTAAAGTGAAGTGAATGAAGCAATTAGAACCCTATGAAGTCACTTTCTTTAACCTCTGGTAAAATTTAACTTAAAACTAATTTTGTATCTACTGATTTTGTTTTATATTTACTAATTAAAATTTATTAATTTGGGGGAGCCTGGACGGTTTAGTGGGTTAAGCCTCTGCCTTCAGCTCAGGTCGTGGTCTTAGGGTCCTGGGATTGAGCCCCACATCGGGCTCTCTGCTCAGCAGGGAGCCTGCTTCCTCCTGTCTCTCTGCCTGCCTCTCTGCCTACTTGTGATCTCTGTCAAATAAATAAAAATTTAAAAAATAAAATAAATAAAATGTATTAATTTTCTTAAAATTAAATAAAATTTGATTTTGTTTTATATTTACTAACAATATAACCACACCAGCTTTACTTTAGAAAGAATTTGTATGACATTTTGCTAGCTATGTCTTTTTGCTTCAGGTATGTTTCAGATGTTCTCAACTGAGTCCAAAATCTGACAACCTTCTCTTTTAACTGAAGCTTTACCCCTGTTCCATTTAATAAGTTAAATATTTGCCCTTAAATCTAATCTAGTGCTTTGAAATTGTGCTACATGATTTAGATTTCTTTTATCACGTGAGCTGAGCTTTAAGACTATAAGCTTCTAAGGGCCCAGCTGTCCTTCAGTTCAATAAATTTTCTAAATTCCATTATTTTTCTTCTTTGACTCGTACTTTATTTAGTGATGAGTTTCTTCCTTGCCAAAATGTTGACATTTTGTCATCCTATTTCCGATCCTGATTTCTGGTTTCTGGTTGGAAAATGTGTGAAAAGAGCACACATTTTGCAGGTGCTATGTGCAGGGTTCTCTCTGTCCACTAGCTTAGTTTGTTGTTCCTGTTGTTCAAATTAGCCATATCTTTGCCGAGTTTCAGCCTGTTTGTTCTATCAGTTATCTAAAGAACCGGTGTTAAGATTTCCCACTAAAATTATTGATTTTTCTATTTTCTCTGTGTTTATCCATATGCAGCTACTTCAGAGTCTTTTAACATCTCTGCCCAGTGGTTCTCCTGGACTTGGCGTTTTGAGAAAGTGCTCTGCCTCTACCATGGGATGGCCTTGAGTTGCTGGGCTTCCGTGATTTGCGGGACTAAACCAGCCCAGGTCACATCTAGATTACCTACGATCCAGAGTTTGAATGAGCCAGATTAAATGAAAGGAGGAGGCACATGTGTTTAGGGTGGCCAGAGGGGGTTCTTTGCTTCCATGTTCATTAACTGGGCAGTTAGCCCACGTTGTGTGATTGGCGACATGTTCTCCCCACCTGCATGGAGGTGTTATTTGGCAGTACGGCTCCTGCTAAGGAAAGGGTAACTTTGAATTCCTATCAGATTTTGGTACAAAAAGAGTTTGTTTTTAGTCCAGCTATAATAACCAGCCTGTCAACTGTTGTCTTGTCTAGATTTAGAAATCTTTGGTCAACATCAAGTGCTTGGCATGATGAAGAAGATGAGTGCCCGTAGAAAAGCCAGTCTTTTTTTTTTTTTAATCTGACAGACAGAGATCACAAGCAGGCAGAGAGGCAGGCAGAGAGAGAGAAGAGGAAGCAGGCTCCTCGCTGAGCAGAGAGCCCGACACAGGGCTTGATCCCAGGACTCTGGGATCACGACCTGAGCCGAATGCAGAGGCTTTAACCCACTGAGCCACCCAGGCGCCCCAGAAAGCCAGTCTTTTAAACACATAGATTGTTTTCATTTTGTTATCCCCTAAGATTTATTTCTCCTGTTATCTTTAGTTGTTTGAAGGACTGAAGGCATTTCGAGGAGTAGATAATAAAATTCGACTGTTTCGGCCAGACCTCAACATGGATAGAATGCACCGATCTGCTGTGAGGGTCACTCTGCCGGTACGTAAATTTAGGAGTTTCTTTTGTGTTTCTCCGGATGTGATGAGTCACTGTGATTTTACCACAAAACAAATCCTTTCTGAATACAGTTGACCCTTGAGCAAAATCCCCCCAAAACTTAACCAAGAGCCTACTGTTGACTAGGAAGCCTTTCCAAAACATACACAGTTGATTAACACATATTTTATATGTTATATGTATTGTAGACTTGATTCTTGTAACAAAGTAAGCTGTAGAAAAGGAAGTGTGATTAAGGAAATCACACGGGAGAGAAAATACGTTTATAGAAACTATATATTAAAAAAAAATCCACATGCAAATGGACCTATGCAGTTCAGATCCATGTTCTTCAAGGTTCAATTGTAGTTAGATCAATATTCAGTACAAACCATGAGAACTCTTAAGGTACTTCTCATCTACTTTGTAATGAATGAGGTAAAAATACAAGGAGATAACTAATACCACTTGGCAGTTCCATGATCTGTTTCTTCATAAATGTCCATGGGGGGGGTTGGAAGAAAAATATACCTCAACCTAAATTAAATAAAATATGAAGATCCTATGAAATTATAATATGTGAAATGGGAAATAGGATGTGCCACACAGGTATTTTAAGAGTATTTTTGCCCAATTGCTTGGGACACTAGCAAGTTTGCAGTGATTTAATTATTTTGATATTTTAGCCCAAGCTTTCTTTTTTATTAAGAAAATGATATCAAAATGGATTGTTATGGCCATTGGTGTCTGTCTATAACATCATTAAACAGCAGAATTCATTATATGGTGGGTTGGATTTAGATCCTATGGCTCACATCAAGGTAAGAGGTGTCTTACCTACATCAGAGAGGTGTCCTTCCCTGATACGTGACCAGGTTGCCTTTCTGAACTGTAGGAGTCTTTTTCTTCTTTTGCAAATTCTGCATACCTAACTTTCAGGAGCCCAGCCCAAGCTGTGCTTTGAAGAAGCCCAAGTAACTACTCCATTTTAGCCAGGATCTTCCTTCTCCTCCCTATTTTTGTAACCTATGCTTCACTCACCTCCTTCAGGGGCCATAATATAGTGCCAGAAGGGAAATGAAGGTATGTTCTTTGGACTAGTTCTTGTGCCACTACAGACAAAATACCAGGAGATACTTTAAAGCGGGGGCAGAAGGAAAGGGAATTAACATCTGTTGGACCTCAGCTCTGCCATAAACTATGTTATATGGTTTTACATTCCTTCTCTGTTTAATCATAACAGTAACCCTCCAGAAGGTATGTGTTTAAAAAAAAAAAAAGTATGTGTTGTGCGTTTTAGTAGCACCTTTGTACCTAGAAGAAAACTCAAGCCTCAAGAGCTTAAATGACTGGCCTGAAGTCACAGAGTAAAGGGACAGGGCAAAAAATTGGGTGTGAGATTTTTTAATTCCTAGTCAAGTTCTGTTGTCACTAAATCTTCAGTGACTTAGAGTGACGATATGTCCTGTATGATTGGTAATCCTGAATTCTATATCCTTATGCTGCGATTGCTGTTCTAATTTCTCATTTAAGTAGGCAGTTCTTAATGTCATGAGTTCTACTTAGATATGTATTTCTGAGTCATTTCAACCCTGGATAACCTGTGACCTACATCTCTGAAAGTATGTTTCTTTGCCCTGTTAAGTGAGAAGAAACTAACTTATTTTATAAACTGTCACCCATCTAATATATGAAAACATTTTCCTCCTTAGAAATAAACTTCTCTTTGCCTTTGTCCATTTTTCTCTTGGGTTATCTGTGTCTTTCTTACTCATTTTCAGAATATCTTAACAGATTCAAGTTATGATACTTGGTTAGTTATGGGTTATGAGTAACTTCACCCAATTTGTTGCTTGTCAGCACAGAGTCTGCTTAAGGACTCCCTCTCTCTCTGCCCCACCCTGCCACTCTAGTGCGTGCTGTGTTATTTCAAATAAATAAATAAATCTTTTTTTTTTTCCTTAAGATTTTATATATTTGACAGAGAGATCGCAAGTAGGCATGGGGGTAGGGGGAAGAGGGCTTACTGCCAAGCGGAGAGTCTGATGCGGGGCTTGATCCCAGGACCCTGAGATCATGACCTGAGCCGAAGGCAGAAGCTCAACCCACTGAGCCATTCAGGCGTCCCTAAATAAATAATTTTTTTTCAAAGATTGTATTTATTTATTTATCTGACAGATCACAAGTAGACAGAGATGCAGGCAGAGAGAGAGGGAGAAGCAGGCTTCCCACTGAACAGAGAGCCTGATGCGGGGCTGGATCCCAGGACCCTGAGCTCATGACCTGAGCCGAAGGCAGAGGCTTAACCCACTGAGCCATCCAGGCACCCCTAAATACATAAATCTTAAAAAAAAAGCAAAACTCTTTTCTACCTTAAGGTGACAGAGGTATTTTTTGATTTTTACTTTATAAAAGTCTTAATGTTTTATCACATTTAAATGTATAATCCAACTATAATTGATATTTGCTATGGTAAGAGATAGGGATCCACTGTTTTATCTCCTCCATGAAGATAATCCATCATCCCATCACAATTTTGGAGAAAAAAAAATCAGGAAAAAAATTGGTTTTATTATTACTTCTTCTTTTTTTTTTTTTTTTTAACATTCTAAAGCTTTCATGAGGATCATTTCTTATAACTACAATGTAGGATAATCTCACTCTTCATTATGTTTTCCATTCCTTCAGGTATTTGACAAGGAAGAGCTTTTAGAGTGTATTAAAGAGCTTGTGAAATTGGATCAAGAATGGGTCCCCTATTCAACATCTGCTAGTCTGTATATTCGTCCCACGTTCATCGGAACTGAGGTACACACTGACTCCCTGTTTCCGGGTGGGCAACTTATCATCGTTTCTTCATGTGAGAAACTTCTAGGATATAGTTTGATAGCCCCCAATAACATAAATGACTCCTTCCTCCTGATTATCAAGACCAGGTATCAGCAAACATTTTCTTTAAAGGGCCACATGGTAAATATGTTGGGCTTTGTGGGCCATATAGTTTCTGTTGCAACGACTCAATTCCAACATGTGGTACAGAAGCAGCCATAGTTACCAATGTAGATGAGTCAAGGAAGGAGCAATGAGCAAGGCTATTTGTCTTCCCTTACTCAAGATTCACCAATATTTCCTTATGTTTTCCTGAGTTTCCTCAGAGTAATTCTTCAGTGTGATGTCTCTTCTCTTGGCAACAGTTCTCCAAGGTGGAAGTGGTAATGATTTTGAAATTTGGAGGAGGGAGAGCTGCTGCTTTTTATTTTCATTTTCCTGAAGTCTTGGGATTACCAAGGAATGGGAGCAGAAGTCCCTCTTCCCCCACAGGAAATGTTGAAAATGAAGTTCACAGTGGGTGTTAGGGAAGGACTGTGAGAGCTAGAGTCGTAGCTTTACACATCAGGATGATAAGATCTGCTGGTAGGTCACAGTCTACTGGTTGGTGCCCTTGCAAAAGGAGGACATGCCTGGAGAAGCTAAGGCCACTTGAGTTGGTGTCCTGTAAAGACCCTATTACTTGTCTCCTTCCTCTTCTAGGCAGCTGTGGTCTTATGGAGAGTGGGTGGTATGGAGGGATAATGGAGAGGGGAAGACTGAGTGTGGGTAGCAAATGAAGGGGCTGTGGCATACGGAGATTTTTAGGAATAGGGAGAAGATGGCACTCTTTTGCTATAGTCTAGGCATTCTGCTCTCGACTAGGTAATTATATGCTTACCAGTTTCTCTATTCTGACATCTGAATGCCAGAAGTATGGAAATATATAAGGCCATGGAAAAAATACCTAAGTGGTATTATGAATCCAGACAATGAATTTCATGAAGTGCAGTCTCCCTAACAAATTTGGAAGAATTGGGACAATTACAAAAGTTATCTACTCCTTATGTCTCTGACATTTTAGTATTAATAAAGTTTATTTTTAATTTTCTATTTTATTTACATATTTTATTTTTAGTGTTTATATTTTAGGATAGGAAGAAATAGTTTTTAAAAGTCTGTTGAAACATTGTTACTACTCTGGAAGCACTGTCTTGTGCTTATTCTGAAGTACTTTCCCACTCTAAGATCTGATTCTTCTATTCTGAGTTTGTTGAAAGTTTTGGTATGAATGGATGTTAGGTATTGTTGATGGCTTTTTCTAAATGTCTTGACAGAATTATATGTTTTTGTCCTTTATTCTAAATTATATTTGTTATATTCAGTTTTTTGGTGTTAAAACAACCTTGCATTCCTGGACTAAATCCTACTTGGCTACCATGAATAATTCATATTAAATCTTGTATTCAGTTTGCAAGCATTTTGTTAAGAATTTTTGTCAATGCTCCTAAAAGGTATTGGTTTATAGTTTCCTAGTGTATTTTGTTCTGTGGTTTAGTAAATTGTTTAGAGTCCCAGAATCCTATAATCTAGAGTTAGACAAGTTTATAAACCTGATTTTATAGTCTAGCCTGTTGTCACAATAATCCTCTCTATTGGTGGTCTTCAACTTTTTGCATTTGAATCACCCAAGTTTGTTTGTTTGACTGATGATTGATTGATTGACTGGGGAGGGAGAGGGAGAAACACAATCTTAACCAGGCTCTACCCCAAGTTGGAGCCTGACACAGGGCTCCGTCTCTCAATCCTGAGATCATTAACTGAGCCAACATCAAGTCAGATGCTTAACTGACTACTGACAGCCATCTAGGTGCCCCCACCCTGGTTTGTTTGTTTGTTTTTCATTTATTTTTTTATTTTTTAAAGATTTTATTTATTTGACTCAGAGTGATCACAAGTAGGCAGAGAGGCAGAGAGAGGGGGGAAGCAGACTCCCTGCTGAGCAGAGAGCCCGATGTGGGCCTTGATCCCAGGACCCTGAGATCATGACCTGAGCTGAAGGCAGAGGCTTAACCCACTGAGACACCCAGGCACCCCCAGGTATTTTTTTAAATACACATCTTGACCCCGATCCACAGAGATACTCACTGAGTAGATCAGAATGGTGTTTGTGATGCTGGGCGGAATTTAGGAACCTCAGTGACAAAAGCCCGGCCAAGTAGTTCTCTCCCACTAGACTATCAACTTACCTACTTGATCATGCTTTGGACCTCAGAATCAAGAATTTTTCAAAATCTGCTTTATAAGTAGTAACTTAAGAATTGAAGGAAATAACTGCTATCATGTGTAAGTCAACATTATTTATATTTGGTTGGTATATTTATACCAATATTTACATTATAAATATAAATATGTTTATAAATACATATAAATATATATACAGGCAGAAAAGACAATCACCTATAATTCAGAAATGAGCATAATACAAATAATGTTCAGTAAAGCATTGGATTTAAACATTTGTACACTACACAGATGTCTTACAGTCTAGTCTGGTAAATTACCACACACTGACTTTTCATGGTGGATGCATTTGGTAAGTGAGGTGCTGGCTCGAGGATTAGGCCCAGTGGCTTCCAGTCCACTGGGACTCTTTCATCAGGGATGGCTAACTTTTGCTGGCCTTTTTATGTTGCTCGATTTCATGATGGCTCTGCTTTGTCACTGGCTTCACAGAATAATTGCAGGCTTACCTCTGTATCAGTTATCTGATGTTTTGGTCTTGTCTTCTGCTGGCTAACGTCCACATTATTTTTGTTTCCAGTTCTTTTCATGGGTTAGATGAATCGATTAAGTGGGTCTTTGATCCAGGAGGTGTTTTGACTTCTTTGAATGAGCAAATAAATATATGTTGGGGTGATTTATTAAGTGATCTCACCCTGCTTTGATCTCGTGTGCCCAGTGTCTAGTCCTGGGTGTGGGACCCCCCTGTGAGTGTCGAATAGTCCATGTTCTACAACCCACTCATCTGTATTGAGCTCCAGCCCAGAGCCAAATAATTTAAGTCTGTGGAGCCAAGATCAGAGACCCTGCATTTAAGCAAACGTTCCAGGGATTTCTTTACTACTTTCAAGAGTATCACCATCTCAAGCCTTGGGAAAGAATTAAGTATATTGCTAGCAGTCTTTAAAGCTTTATTTGCTCCTGAGATTGCCAACTGGCACCAGGTAGAAATATTTACATCTTTGAAAGCTCAACGTCGTCCCAAGGGCACGGTGTCGTTTTCACTTTCAGGGGCCATGATACAACAGTCCAGTGTTAATTATTCCTTCTTATGCCCAGTTTGATTCGACAGCAGCCATGTGATAAGAGAGTGGTTCTCCTATCAGCTTACGAATTTCATTATGTTTGCAAAGTGTTCTGCTTCTTCACATGTTTATCATTAACTGACCCTTCATTTTTACTGACTTATATAGGTAATACCTACGTATGAATGTTTTTGTGCAGTTCTTCATATGTCTTCAAGACTTATTCGATAATAATTGAGTCCATTACTAAAAGCCTGTTAGATTTAGGATTATGATAAACAGAATAGTATTTTATTGGGACATTTATAATTATCTATTAGTATATAACTACGGGGTAGAGCTTGCCAGTAAAATATACCAGGCTGCCAATGGGTAGAAATTTTTTTTAAAAAATTGTTTCCCATAAAATTCATATCACTAAACAAAATGCTGAACATTAATACATAAACCTCTTGGGAAAAGTTTAGAGAGTAAAATCATTCACATTACCAAAAGATTTCTCATTAAAAAAGGAATTTGAACATCCCTTTACTATCTTCTAAAATGTTTTTTTATAGGTAGTTAAAAACTTAAACAGAAACTAAAAGCTGGAGTGCCTCAGACTACTGCTGATTATGTGTCAATTGGAAATTAAGATAAAATCTGAAAGCCTACTATTTAAATAAAGAACATTTACATGAGCAATTTCTAGATTTTCACTTTATCAGACAAGAAGTTAAAATTACATGCTATCAGAATCAGTACGGGATACCGAGCAGCCTTACCTCTAAAGAAGCTGGGTTTTGCTGATTTTAACATCCATTTTATCCAGCTTCACTCTGTTTAGTAACTGCAAGCAGGTACAGCTATATGAACGTACCAATAGACACAGGCTTTATTTCCTTAGTGATTCTAATAAGTGTGCAAATGCTTTGACCACAGTCTGTAACAAAATAGGCACAACCATGAATTCTGAAATCCCGTGGGATCATGCTGTTCAGTCTTTCACATTTCCAGTTTTTCTCAGTGTCCTCTCATCCCACGGGAGATGATTGGAGAGGTGACAGAGTGAGGCTGCACTGGATAGTAGCGGGGCTGAGGATCCGTGTCACGGAGAAGAATCAAGTTTGATGGTGGAGGCACAGCCCACTCAGCGCCTTTGACCGGGTCCCAGGCTGAGGCCACAGATCTGCAAGCCACCAGCAGATTTGGCTTTTTCAGCTGTTCTCCTAGACAGACTGTCTTTGGCTCATGCAGAAGGCGAGGAATCCCTCGTATTCAGTTAACTCATACTTCTTTTTTTTTTTTTAAATATACATATTCAAAGATTTTATTTATTTATTTGACAGAGACAGAGAGAGGGCACAAGTAGGCAGAGGGAGAGGCAGACGCAGACTCCAAGCTAAGCAGAGAGACGAATGCGGGGCTCCCTGGGATCATGACTGAGCCATCCAGGCACCCCTTAACTCCTACCTCTACATTCAGAGTGCCCTTACGTAAATCTCTGGAGCTGAGCCCCGCTAGAGAAGCAGTCTGCTTTGGTTAATTGCAGCCTCAGACGCCCAGAATACAATCTGAACAGAGCATTTTCAGTCACTTCACATAAACAGTTTCCCCATTCACAACTTCTGGAAATCGTTCAGAATGATATTTTCATTAGCGCTCCCATTTAGAAAACTCCTGCTGCCAAAGGGTCCAACCCTTCATTTCCGG